CTCCTCATATCTTCGTGTTTATGATTTTGAAAAGGATGGCTTGGCAGAAGACCAAAAACCAATGTTACCGGCCGAGGGTACAAGTAGGCCACCGCCAGATGTTCCTCATTCATCATCTCGGCCCGTTCATTAAGGACTTGCTTTGTCTCCGCCATTCTCAAGAAGAGGAAGATTTCCTATCAACACCCCGACACCTCAGGTGAAAATTTCTCCGTCTTCGAGCTTCAATGCCTGATCGCATGACACCCCCGCGTGTATCTGTTACACCCCGTGGTGGTTGTACTATCTACCACCGTTATTACTAAGATTAAGGCTCCGAGACGACAGGTTGGCGAATCTTCGAAGAAGATTGCTTCTTTGTAGCGTTCTTGGGAGGTTCGAGAACCATTCCCTCACTCGCACTCATATGGAAGATACCATGCTGTTGGTTCTTTGGTTCTTCGGGATGATTTCGAAGCTGTGACGGCTGGCAACTCGGGGGTCGAGGATCGTGGCATACTTGGTCTTGCCGCGGATCCCGTATGGCCCTGAAGTACAAAAGTACTGCAGCTGCTGCGTAGGCATATAGAGGCCTCAAGTGATGCGCAGCAGGGCCCGGTTGTGGGGCTGATAAGTTTTCCCTCTTCCGAGGATTCTGTCCGGCGTCCTTATTTTTTTCTTCCAGTGCCCGTCATTTCAGTCCCGTAAAAGACAAGACAAGGGAGTACACTTCTGTCGCTTCATTCCCTTAGAAGATATGAAGAACAGTGTCGAGATGAAAACGTCGCCCTAACCCAAGCCAGGACAAGGATACCTTGCAAGACAGGTATGCTGCTGGCAGCATAGTCTGACGATAGACCTCGTCGCGGTCCTCGAATATTTCAGCAATAGAATCCTGAAAAATACTGTGCTTCGGTGGACACAGCGGGAATAAGCCATCGACATTCGCGAATCATGTCGTGATATTGCGTTGCCAGCGCCTTTTGACGATCGAGGCCGAGGCAGATCTTTGGCTTTGATTAGAATCAAGGCGTAAGAAACGATCTCTGAGGGGATCTCTGTGAGAAGCTGGCGTCGCAGAACTTAGCACGGGATACCTGGCCACCTTATGCCACCGGCCGAGGGATGCGTCACATGAATCCAACGGTACCGGGCTGTAAAGCAGGAGATAATGCAGAAAACTGGGCCCGGGCTCAGGTCTCTCTTCGAGGTGATTAAAGCGGGAAGCCCAGTGCTCAAGCTGTACAATTTGTTTATTCGTCTGTGCAATATTATGCTGAAGGACACTTGAGGTGGAGTTAACCATACTGCGGGAATCTTCCACTCAAGAAAATCCGCTTCGAGTTAGATAATGTCCAGATACACATGGCATTATCCATTCGCTGTGTAGGATTACTTCGGGGCAACGGACTTCGGGAGACGCCAGCGGCCGTCTATAGGGCCCGACTGTGAATGATCTGAATCTTAGCATCGATAACGATTATTCGGCGTGCTCGCCATGAGCTTGAGCAGTCGTTACTCCCATCTTCTTACTTTCAAACGGAAGTGAACCATCTATATCCGTTCCAGAGCTTGTACCCTCTGGTAGTGGCAGTGGTATGCGTCTGGGGTTCTCGAATGCCCCATAATGGATGATTCACGACCCGGCGATCATCCCTGAGTGTGGTTCCCAGATCGCCAGTCCTCTGATCTCTGCCAGTAATACTGACTCTCGATGATCTTGACTGTCCTGATCCGGTCTGGGTCGGCGAGTAACGGCTAGCTATGGACGTCTTCGATGCTCTAGGTGCGTAGAGTCTCCTCCGAGTCTACGGTGACGCGTTCGTCCGTGAGAATCAGTCCTTATCTCACTTTGAATTTCCAGTGATCGGGTTTTTTTTCTGACCAGGGCGCGGCAACCTTCGAAGAACGGCGTCTCGAACTATGGTGACACGACGTTTGAACATGTAACTCACAGAGGGCTGGACCAGACATCGCTTGTACGCGTAGCAATGAGTTGCCGTTCTGAAAATGAAGGTCCCGGGATGTAAATGCCAATTTACGTCAAGATGTACCAATTGAGGGTACTGATATAGTTTGTTGAGCGACCCTTTTGCCGGCCCGAGCCATGCGATCCCGGTCGTCGTCATCAGCAGCACTGGCAGCTGCTCGGCATCTTAAGCCTCAGCTTTGCATTTAAATTCGAGATCTCTCTTGGCTTCCCCGAGCTAAGTAGGCCTGTCTATATGACTTGAGAAATTCAGATGCGAATTGAAAGGGTGCTCGTCTACAATAGTTGGGCTCCCATGTACTGCGCGATCATCGAAGCCTGAAAATGGTGTGTCTCTGATCGGTCGCATCAGAATCCCCTTTCATCTATCGCTATCATGTTACGTTTGATAAATTCCACCGAAGCATTCAGTAACAGCCATTGGAAGACTTAGATAGGTGAAGAGGGAGACGGCGTGACTATCAACCTTTTAACCCGATGATGAAGTCTGACGGGTGGCAAAATCGGCTTCAGCGATAGTGGGACCCCGCTGCTTCCACAGCTTATCATTTTCATGATTGTCGCAGAGCCTCTATTCAAGGTAATGGCTCTATCGTAAAGGACGGACAGTCCAGGAAGGTATCGCGTTTTTGCGCCAATCTTTGTTCTTGGCCTTTCATACATGACCACGCCGAAAGGACCTCGATTTAGGACTGACAGTTCTGGTTGATTTGTATTTCTTCTGGATGGCGATCATAAACTGATCCTCAGTGTATCTGAACTCATTCGGGGTAGGAAACCTAGGAGTCGTTCGTAATACGAGAGGGTCTAAGCCGACGGCGAAATGCGTGAGTGTCGACTATGCGACGCAACCATGATGCAAGCCACAATGAGCCTCCTTGTGATGAAACTTCTGGTACAAGGCCAAATTCAACTGTCGGTCCTGCCCCCCGAAAGGTATTCAAGCCTTGTATGATGATTCAAAGAATTCAGAACATAAAGAATTCAGAACATCAGCGATGAAGCGGTTCAGAGTCGCAATCTCTCCATGAACCAACCATGCTTTGGATTGTAAGCACAAGAGAAAAAGATTGCGAAAAAAAGAAAGAGAAAGCGCACTGGCGTCGACGTCATGTAACTCATGATAGGGGACTCAATGAATAGGAACAGCACGGTGTGGTAAGTGTGCATGCGCCTCTGGCTGTCGGCTTGGGTGGAAAGGTTAAGAACGTGATCAAAATCTCTTTCGTCTTCCACTAATTTCGGCGGGGCCGAAGATCAAGTACAAGGAAAGCAAATGGAGCGTTGCAGGGTCTTTAGAAAGACGCCAGCAACAGAAGCGACGGCGCCAGAGTGTAGATTATAGAAGGCCTTCGAGATGATGTTTGACATGAATTTGCAAAGGTAGCTCGGATTGAAAATAGGCTGCAAGAGCTCAAGCTGGCGGGGTGTCTTGCCAGCCAATCCGTCCAAAAATATAGGCTCCTTTAGACGTACTAAAGAAGTCCATTTAAATCTCCATCTCCAAATAACGCAGGCATGGATTCTTTTTATGCTACTGCGGCAATTGAAAACGCCAGTGATTATGCCTGCGTTAATCCGACGGCGCAGCATATCATGGGCAGCTCTGCGGTGTGTCATACCAGAGATACAAACTGACTGGCTTGGGGATAGCGATTTGAACTCACAATCTTCTGGCCAGCGCAAACAACGTTGTTGTTGCAGTTGCCACAAACGTGCTTGATGGCAGCTTCTTGCTGGCGTTTTTCGAGAGCAATCTCATACCTTATTCAATGTGAAGTCTAACTCGTACGCGTAACGCGTTCTATGAGCTTTGTCCACGCTTCGACCTCACTTTTCCCTGTCTCCCATCCCAAAAATACTCGTGTATGCTCACCATCGCACGATGATCTTCTGATACCTTTTCATTGAATTTCTCGTCTCTCATGTAAATAATCCCTTTTCGGCTTGGAGCCATCCGTAAAGGGTCTAGGTGCGCTACAGGTCATATCCTGGCTGATGCGCATATTTCCCCATAAACGCCATGCCCTCAAGCTTCGCCAGGCTAAGCCAAGCCATCTTGTCCGAAACAGGTACAGCTGCTGAGGTGCGAAGATCATGATGAAGCAAGAAAAGTGTTTTCGAAGATCTAGGCAACCATCGATGAACCCCGAAAAGGAATATTTCAGGATCCAGGGATACATAGCCGCGCCTCACGAAGGTCGGCGCCGCTCGGCATCTACCGTGCAAGCGCCCGTAGGAGCGCCGACATTGTCTGTGTGGCTCTGCATCAAACCAGTGAATGCCCGTCGAATTCTACGAGGAGATTTGCAACACTGACTGAGAGCAAGCCACCCATGTAGGCAGCCTTGTAGGGCGACGAGTGCGCCCAACGGAGTTTGAGATTTGGTTTTGGGATTCGAAGCTTCTTGCAAGCCAGCGTTCCCGCTTCCTTGTCACAGCTCTAATTGCGGTAAGCAAGCGGGCGCTATTCCTAGTCTGCAAGCCACTCAGACCTGTCTTTGACTAGCACGAAGCTCCCCCAATTGCCACATTGGGAAATACCAATGAGTCCATGATGCTGATGCAGTGAAGCGTCAGCCGCCTCCCCCTGATGCGCGACCTATTTGAGTCAAGTTTGCACTGCACTCATGCTTCAAGCCAAAGCTGTCTTCGAGACCGCCTTCGCTGACAAAATCCCAAGTCAGAGCCTCATGTAATACTGGAAGAAGCGCCGATATCATGAGGCGCCGTCAATGTCCACTGCAGCTTACTGTCGATCCCGTCAAGGCTTTCGAGCGTTTGACGATGGATCAGGGGTGATACGTCCTTCAAGGATGGATCATACACAATGGCTTGCATATCGTGTTTTTTGAACCTAGAGAAATAATTGTCTCGTTCTGTCGTTGGCCGCCGGGATTCCGTTGTCTGTTCAATATTGTTTTCTATTTCTTTTGTGATTTGATCTTTCGTACTTTGTATTAGAGCCATTTACGAAAGCGGCATCAGACATACACGATTTCAGAGTCGAGATAGCAAAACAAACGCGATCATGCCTAACCAGGCAGCCCGCGAAACAAAATCGGAGAAGCCGGCCGGACCGGCTGTCCCAGAATCGGACGACACAGTGGCAAAGTTACCAACATGGCAAAAATGGACGACACGGTTTGTCGTTTGCTGGATGACTTTGCATGCTACCTTCGCCAACAGCTCCATCATGACAGCAGTTGCAGAGGTTGCCACCGATTTCGATGTCCCGACCCACGTCATTACCACAGCCAACGCTGGCGTTTTCATTACGATGGCTGTGTCTGCCCTCATCTGGTTGCCAATCAGCACAATCATTGGTCGCAGACCTACCTATCTCTTAGCTACAATCATGCTCACGCTGTCTTCAGTGGACTCAGTTACATCTCAGAGCTTCGCTTTCTTCGTCACTGCCTGGATCCTCGGAGGAGCAACCGGACTTTACTTCCTTATTGCTGGACAAACCATGTTGGCAGACACTTTTGAACCAGTCAGTTGTTGTTGAAGTTCCCAAATCCAAGACTATTCTCTGACGTGATTGACAGACCAGTCGTGGCTTGGCAGTCGGCCTGTTTCTTGGAAGCTCTGTTGCTGCAAACTCATTGGGTCAGTAAGGTAGATTGGTTCTGTCACAAAGCGCTTGCGCTGACTTTGATGAAAGCGCCCATGATCGGAGGTGTCATAGTCTCATACACAACATGGAGAATTATCTATGTCGTCCAAGCAGGAATGGCGTTCTCTGGCCTCGCGTTGGGATACCTATTCATTTCGAATACAGTCGGTTGGGACAACCAGCAAGCTAAGGGTGGATCCAGCGACAATTATGTCATGGGTGCATTGCGCATGCTCAGTCCATTGGATGTGTTTCGTTTGTTCAGGAACCCAAACATCATCATGGCGGTAGGTCTTTCCCTCGGATACTGCCTCAGTCACTATCGCTAACCCTTACCGATTTCAGGACTTCGCTTGCGGGTTACTAGGCTTCAATCAGTACGCCCTCATAGCATCTGTTCGACGAGTTATCAACCCACGATTCAACCTCACTACTCCCCTTATCAGCGGTCTATTCTATCTCGCCCCAGGAGCTGGCTTCTTGCTTGGCAGCATGATCGGCGGTGCGCTGTCCGACCGTACGGTCAAGCAATACATAAAAAAGCGAAATGGGTTCCGCCTGCCGCAGGACCGACTCAATGCCTGTCTTCCTGCCTTCTTCCTCCTGTTACCCCTAGGCACACTGGTCTTCGGCTGGAGTCTGCAACTCGAAGTTGGTGGGATGGCTTTGCCCGTTATCAGTTCAAGGATTCGGACTCATGTGGTCATTTAGCGGATTGAATACGTACGCTGCTGGTAAGTTCAACCCTGGAATTTATTACTTGGCCGTATCTCATGCTGACCGAACTACCTTTTGACAGAGGTTGTACCCGAAACGAGAACAGCTGTCATTAGCGGAAAGTACATCATCCAATATTGCTTTGGGGCCGGTGCTGTTGGTTGTGTCGTTCCCATGATAGACTCTATCGGAGTCGGCTGGGTCTTTACCATCAGTAAGCTCACATTAGTTTGACAAATTGAGACGTTGAAGTTAGTTGCTGACTGTCCTTTTTAGCTGGACTTGGTGCTACCTTTGGTGGCGTGCTTGTCTTGGCGATGATCAAGAAAACACTTCATGTTCAAAGTCAGAAGACCATTGATGACAAGCTTGAAAATGATGCCGACAGTTGTGTGTAAGTTAAAACGAAGCGTGAGTCGTCTGAAATTATCAATGTTCCAGGTGGGTATTGTCGAGCTTTTCTACTAGGCACGTTTGTTTTGCATTAGAATTGGAGTCTAAAAGAGATTGATAACTTTACGAAGTATTGCGTCAGTGGGACATTGAGAATAGACTGTCTGCAAAAGTTGATAAGCCTTTTATATCTCTACGTAGACTAAGATCATGAAGTTCTACAGCCGGACCACCCAATGAATGCAGCTGTTTTTTCGGCGTCGTCTTCAAGAAGGAAGTTGGACATTGATCCAGCGTAATAATTCATCTATTTAACAGCATTATGTATGAAAGGAACCTGTGTTGAGTTGCCTACAGATTGGCTGCCTTCTCCTTCGTCACCTGCGATGATCCCAAGACTTCTTTGGCTGCGAAATCTCGTACGCAGTATCTGAGGTTCCAGTGCTGCGCAACAGGTCGCAACAAAGAATTGAAACATTAGTAAAAAGAACTGCAAAGCCGCCGCGCACGTTCACAATGTATAACAGTGTAATTCACGAACATAATGAGGCAAGTTGGCCCCAATGACGGGCTCATGAAGAATCAAGCTATTCGAGCGGGAATACCGAGAACTAGAAAATATAGTGATAGTTCTCGTATTCAGGGGGCCTTATCCCGTTGATTGAGGTTCGGCAGCTGTCTTCAGCAAACGACTCAGTCACTCCGCTCACCAAGTACCTTGGATCGTCAATTGATCTCAAATTGAACACATGGCAGATGGTAGCACTTATTTTCCGGCACGCAGCTTATCATAACGCAGTACCGCTCCAAGTAACACATTGGCACCAATCGCGCTATGCAAAGGTCAGCGTCGTTTATCAATCAGGTTGACGGGATTAACAATACCAGTCCTCCGGTGAGCAATATTCCGTAGGGTTGTGGCTGATACCCTCCCTTGTCTGTGTGAAGATCATGCTTGTCGGCACCCGCAGGTTCGTGTAGCAGCTGTCGTGTCCGGCACCACTGATCATTGGCCTGAAGAGCTTTCGGTCACCCGCTTCGGGAAGCGTGGAACACACATCAGCTGCACTCGCCTCAACAGCAGCGATGCAATCCAGATGGAACTGAACAGCCGGACTGTCGACCAGGAGTTCCCAGTCCACAACGCATCCTTTCCCGCTGTCATCTTTTCCGATACGCTCAAACTCTGCTTCGCAGCGGCGGACCATCTCGCCCAACACTGCGTCCTCTACATGCCGCACGTCAAGGGTGAACTTGACTGTGTGCGCCATTGTGTTGACTGTTCCTGGGTCTGTGGTGAAGATGCCCGTTGTGGCGAGACCATTGAACTCATGAGCGATGGCGTTGGCCGCAACGATAAGCTTGCTTGCACAGAGTACAGGGTCCTTGCGCGCATACAGTGGTGTTGTTCCGGCGTGACTATCGCGACCTCTGACAGTGATGTTGAACCATTTGAAAGCTTGCACGCCTGTTTTCAATGTTAATACTTAGTCAGGTCTCATAGCCATCACCAGGCTGGGGGTCTCACCTTGAACGACACCAATCTTTTGCTTTTCATCTTCCAGAATAGGTCCCTGTTCGATGTGTAGCTCGAAGTGGGCAGCAAAAGGATTTGTGCGGTACGAAGCCGCGCGTTCACCGTTGTAGCCGATTCTGTCGAGCTCCTCCTTCATGGATTTGGGTTGACCGTCGCGTGACGACACCTCCCTCAGGTCCCAGGCTGTTTGAAGGGTGATGGCTTCAGCCCAAACGCCTGAAGACACAGCCATTTTCGGGAACCGCGCACCCTCTTCGCTAGATTTAGTTAGTATTTAGTTGGGAACGGACCGTTTGCAACCAAGAAGACGTACTTTGTCCAATTGACGACGCCAACTGGCCCTTCGGTCTCATAATCATTCTCACTCAAGACTCGCAGCACCTCAAGACCAGAGATGACACCCAAGATGCCGTCGTAGCGACCGCCAGTGGGCTGTGTGTCAAGATGGGATCCCATCATGATTGGCGGGGCATTCTTGTTCTTTCCAGCGCGGATGGCGAACAAGTTGCCCATCTCATCATAGAAGGTCTCGCAGCCGAGCGACCTGGCGTGCTGCATGAACCAATCTCTCACTTGCTTGTCTGTGTCGTTGAGACTAAGTCGCGCCATACCGGTATCGATAGCTGCTCTATCATTGTGAGATTATGAACGTGGGTATTTGGGACATTATCTGGCAAGCTCACTTTCCATATCGATGTGCGGCGCCAAATTGGCAACTCTCATGGAGCAGTCCAGCCAAGCTCTCTTGACTGATTTTCAGTTGACTCGTGGTGCCCAGAGAACCCATGTTTTGCTTTCTTCCGTAAAGCTTTCCGCTAGTCGGTTAAGTAAGAATGATTGGAGTACAGTCCAATGAATGCAGCTAAAAATGTATTGTCGAAATCGTTCATGGAGATTCATGGATGAAGTGATATATCAACTCAAGCATGCTCAGATCGGCAAACAGCCAACGGCGTCTGAGGATGCCCCGCACCGGGCGATAGGACAACCCAATTGGGAAGTGATTATCTACCGACGGCGGTTGTCCGCCGTCGGCCGTCATCGGCCGTCGGTATTTACCCCGGCTGACCGCCGACAATGCGGGGCTAACTCTAGTTATCGGATAGCTTATCCCCAGGTTGACGCAGTCAGGTAGCCAATGGCAGCTTTGCCGGTTATCAGACCCGAGGTGGTATCTCTACAATCATTCGACCCTGTTGGTCCATTGTCCGCCACGTCGGGAAATCAAAGGAACTGCAGTTATCAATTGAGTATATACATCAGCCCATATCTCGTAAGGATGTTGCAATTGGTTTAAAGTCTCATGCATGGTCTGGTCAACTTAAGCATCGCTGCAGACATCATAGCCTCGTACCACACCCGCCACGATGACCATCCCAGGCAAAGACTTGTCGAACAAGGATGTCAAGGTCCGGCAGCAAAATGATAGCAGCAGCCTCAATGCTGCGGAGATCGCAGTCGATCCCCAGGAACGAGCAGTATTGTCCAAGTTCGACAAGTTCGTGATGCCGCAGATGGCGCTGCTCATTCTTTTTGCCTACCTTGACCGAACAAACATCGGTTTGCAACCCCACCCATGTCGCTTCATTGACGCACTGACTGACAGATCTAAGGAAATGCTCGCGTGTTTGGTCTGGAAGAAGACACGGGTATGAAAGGCACCGATTTCAACGACATCTCCATGTACTTCTACATCTCCTATGTAGTCTTTGAGACGCCCTGGGTAATGGCCGTCAAGAGGCTAGGTCCAGGTCGCGTTCTCGCCATCGCAATCGTCAGCTGGAGCGCCATCACCATCGGCACAGGTTTCATCAACAGCTACGGCGAAGCCATCGCCTTGCGAGTTCTTCTTGGCCTCTTCGAGGCCGGCCTATTCCCCGCCTTGATCTACGTCATCTCAGAAATCTATCCTCCTGCATCCCAGGGAAAGCGCGTGGCCGTGCTCTACATCACCATCGCGCTGTCTGGTGCACTGGGTGGATTATTCGCATACGGTGTCCAAAGCATGGGTGCACGCCACGGACTGTCTGCCTGGAGGTGGTTGTTCATTGTCGAGGGTACAATTTCGCTGGTCATAGGCGTCATTTGCTGGGTCAGTTTGCCCACGTCGCCGGAGACAGCTTGGTTCTTGAAGGACGAGGAGAAAACTGTGATGATGCGCATCAAGGAACGAGACCAGATGTCTAAGGAGAAGACCTCGTTTTCCTGGCCACAGGCTGTCATGGCCATTACCGACCCCTTTGTCTATCTCGCTTCGGTGGCACTTTTCTGCTCCTCAATCGCCCTCTTTGGTTTCGGCACGTTTCTTCCCACTTTGTTGAAGGGTCTTGGGTAGGTTTCAGGACATCTCAAAGTTAAACACCCGCTGACCATCTCCAGATATACTTCTCTTCAGGCGAACTACTTGAGCATCCCAGTTTATATCCTTGCATCCATCTCAACTGCGATCACAACATTTGTGTCTGACAGAATCAACCGCCGTGCTGTCTGTCTCATACACTCCCCCGCGTTGGTCATTTGCGGGTATGCCATTGCGGTTGCCACCGGCAACAAAGCCGCTGGATTCTTTGCTATGTTCCTTGTAGGCGCTGGGGTTTACTCCTTCAACACTGTCCTCGTCACGTAAGTCACCTTCTTGTAGAGTATGATGTATATGCTGAACCTTTCTAGCTGGGTTTCGAACAATATTCAACCGGACTACAAGCGCTCCGTTTCGATTGCCATGCTCATCTCTCTGGCAAACGCTTCTGGCATGGCCGCATCCCAGATTTACCCCTCATACGATGCCCCGAGGTACATCATGGGCAATGCGGTGTCTCTTGGAGGAGAGGTTATTGCATTGATTTGTATAGGTTTGATCTACGCTCTTCTTAAATGGCGTATGCGCCGTAAGGAGCGTCTACTGGCCGAGGGCAAGGAAAGCAACGGTAAGAATGGCGATCAAGCGTTGCACTTCCAATACGTGTTCTGAAAGCAGCTGAATTGCCTTGATGGACGATTCAAGCCATAAATAGATTGATTAAGCGGAGCTATGTACAGGACATGTATAGGTACTTGAATGCTTATGTGTTGTTCCATGTCAAGACGCAGGCTCTCGGAGGCCTTTCCAGTAGATAGCGTCCACCTTTACAATAGCAAATCGCAAAAATGTCCACGATTGTACTCTCGTCCGCAAAGCTTTTCTCCAAGTGTCAAGTAAAGCCCGATCAAATGACAGCATGTGCGGCTCGCTTTGCTGTAGCGATAGCATGTAGCAAAACAGTCCTGGGTATGACAGACAATGTCTGGTGTAAGCTGGCCAGAAAGCGGACTGATGTCTTACATCGAGTCCACAGATGAATTTCGTTATGGTCTGCACCAAGCTTCGCGAAGCTTGGAGGATGGAGGTTGAAGATGCCGGTAGCATATTCGGGTCGATGTCGGTACTTATGATGGGGCGCAACAGGGCGCGGAAGATGAGAATATGAA